TTATCGGGGTTTCCTTCGGATGCCTTCACGTCCGTGCCGGTGGCAGCCCTCTGGGCTGGGGTGGGCTGGTGCTGGGAGCTGTCTGCATCCCAGCCTCTCCCTCYCTTCTGGAGAGTAAATCCCATGGGGCAGGCATTGCTCAGCACCGCTGTGAGCCGTACCAGATGCTGTATGGTCTTCAGACATCCCCAGCAGGTGTGATATGGGAGAGCACAGCYGTGCTCTGGGGGAGATAGCTGGGCAATTCTCTGATTACACTATGGGCAGTGATTAGTGTCACCAGTCTGTTCCTTACCCTGCAGAACATCTGGATTACAGACAGCAGCAAAGATGGACTTTTTACAAGGGCCTGAAGTGATAGGATAAGGGGGAATTGCYTTCAGTTGAAGGAGGGCAGATTTAGAGTAGATACTAAGAATAAATTCAGTGGGGGTTGTGAGGCTCTGGCACAGGCTGCCCAGAAGAGCTGTGGCTKCCTCATCCCTGGAATTGTGTTCAAGGCCAGGCTGGATAGGGCTCTGAGAAACTTGATCTGGAGGAAGGTGTCTCTGCCCACAGCAGGGGGTTGGAATGAGGAAGTGTTTAAGGCCCCTTTAAGCCAAAAAAGGTTCCATGATTCTGTGATTCCATGGTCTGCCTAAGGGTTTAGGATCATCCCTCAAAAGGTTTACAGGTGTAACGTATATGGGTGGGGATGGATGAGCTTCACCCTTTAGCCCCTGAAGGACTGTGTGAAGCACAGCTGGCTCAGCCTTGCTCTGCTCRCTGAACAGCACAGAGAGCAGGCATGGGGCTGGTGTGTCCTGCAGACCATCCTGCACCAGAGCTCCTGGGAAAGGGATGGGGCAGAGGAGGCAGCACGGGATGAAGTACAAGGGGTTTTGTCAGTGCACCATWTGTGAGAGCAAACTCACTGCAAATGGCCAGGGGGGCACAGSYGTGCTGAGCTGTCTCTGGGTGCAGTCACAAGCAGGGAGATGCTCAGAGCAGTGTGCTGCCTTCACCACACTCTGCCATTTCAAGGGCCTTGTTTACCTGGCCCACTGTCTCCTCATTCCACTTGCAGGCTTTCCCCTTTAATCTCTCTGTTCAGAATGGGGGTGTTTGTGCTCCTCTAGGAGAAAGCCTGGCTGCTCTTATCTCCAGGGTGATGATGCCCTGTGAGCCCTGTGTTTCCCCAGCTTTCACTTTCTCTGTGGATTGAAAACAGGCCTGAGCAGGCAGCTCAGAGCCGGGTGAGAGCACTGGAACCCACAGAATGTGCTGCTCCCTGTCTGGGCCTGGGCAGCCCCACAGTGGGGTCCCGATGGCCCCACACACAGGGGTAYGGTGGGACCAYGGCCCTGAGCAGCTCAGGAGAACAAGATGGTCAAGGAAACTAGGGTGGATGAGGAGCCAGCATGACCTCGCTGGAAATCCCATGGGTACCTTGTGGGACCTCTGCTGCTTCCAGTTCTGGTGCCCCAAACATAAAAAGGGCATGGAWCTGCTGGAGAAAGTCCAGAGAGGATCACAAAGTTGATCAGAAGACTGGAGCATCTTCCTTACAAAGACAGGCTGAGAAGGTTGGGGCTGTTCATCCTGGAGACGAGAAGCTTGTGTAGAAACTTCATAGGAACCCTCCAGCATGTGAAGGGGTCCATGGGAAAGAGGAAAGGGACATTTTGTCAGGAACTGTAGTGATAGGACAAGGAATAATGGATACAAATTGGAAGAGAGGAAATTCAAGCTAGRCATTAGGAAGAAATACTTTACTGTGAAGGTGGTGAGATACTGGAGGAGGTTGCCCAGGGAAGTTGTGGATGCCCCATCAGAGTTCAAGGCCAGRTTTTTGGGGCCTTGAGCAACCTTGTCGAGTAGGAGATGGCCCTGCCCATAGCAAGGGTGGGTTAGGACTGGATGTTCTTTAAGGTTCCTTCCAATCCTTATGAATCCTTATGATTCTGTGACCTGATCCACCCCTGCATCTCAATTTCACTCCCTATTAAGTATTTGTGGGTAGGGAAGACTTTCCAGGGCTTTTCACAGATCAAAACTGGTGCGTGCCTCAAACACCATCATGCTTTGCTCCGCATAGAAACAACCTGATTCTGTTTGGTAAATTAACAAGGGCCGGAGGAGGTGGCCCAGTGAGGAGTGGATGGGTCCCTGGTGACCAGGAGGGTTCCAACCCGTTGCCCAACAATGGGGCCAGGGCCACCCCTGGCAACCCTGTCAGCCAGCCCTGCTCTGCCCCTRAAGACAAACAAAGCTGGGTAATTCTGCTCCCACCAGCAGCACCACCCCATGGATCACCTCCATCCGAGCAGGCTGTAGCAGCGTGGGGCAATGAGCCGCTATGTCAGCCGTTCTGGCCCTCCAGATCCTGCCTGTCTCCCTCTGGCTGCTTTCCATCCACCTCATCCTGTTTTCTGTCCAACTCCTGTTTCTGTCCCTCTACCTCCTTTCAGCCATGACAGGAACAGGCCTGTGCAGGTGAGGAACTTTGGCTGGCTTTGGGAAAAGGGACAATGGGTGAGCTGAAAGGTTGTGGAGGCTGGTATCCTGGGAATGGAGAGCAGGTGATGGTGCAGAGAGCAAAGACTTCTTTGGGGTGTGTGAGACTACCATCCCTAAAGAAGAGAAAGAGACAGACCATGAGGGTGGAACTACAGGGAGCAGGTGCTCCAGGGCACRTCCAACAGGGCCTGTCCTGGACAGCAAAGGTCACAGCAGTGCTGTTCCGATCTCTCTGGCCGGGTCTTGCTTCCTGAAGGGTGCTGGAGGGGTTTTGGTGCCCTGTTCATTTAGTCTGACAGAGGAACAGGCTGTTCTTGCTTGTTCTCCTCTGCTCAGATGTCTGCTTGTGCTCCTCTCGGCCTCTGGGAGAGAGAGAGATAAACAAGCTCCTGGGTGCAGAGGGAGCACGTGCACTGTCAAACTCAGTCACAGAAGTTATTCCTTGCAGAATGCCCTGGAGTGCCTGGGTACTCATTCTTCCCAGAGCTGCTCTGGCASGATCCAGGGCCATTGTTCTCCTGGTTCTTCATTACCATGGGTATCAACGCCAGCATGGCTGGTAGGCCTTGACTGTGCCAAAACTCACCTTTCCAAACTGACACCTTTATTACTACTGCTGAAAGCACACCTGTCTTGGGGAGGAAAGTGGATTTGGTTTAGCAGGTGGCTGCTTAATTTGCAGTGAAAAATGTGGCAAAAATCAGTGTAGGGCCAATGTTGACTTTTCAGCCTGAGAGGGAATCAAGGTAACCATCAGGAAGTGGTGTGGAGCTGCATATGAGCAGTGCTTTTCTGACAAACCTTATAGGACCACTTTAAGTGATGGCACCCACAAGAAAGAAGTCAACCCATGATTGTGATGAGCTAATGCTGTACATGGACAAATGGCTTTCAGAATCTGGCTGAAAATCAGAGCCAAATGTCTRACCCTCAGAGCAGCGAGTTCTGGTRACAGGAGGGTCCAACMGGAYGAGTTGGGCAACAATCATCTGYCACTAAAATGGAGAGTGGTCAAYCACCAAAGGGCAGTGTGGTGTGGCYCTTGTGCCAATAGGGGACTGTGYTCATTGACCCSGGAGATCCCTGCCAGCCCTGCGGGTGAGTGAAACCCGGCAAGCACCAGCAGGCTGCTGTTGGGAAACCAGCAGAAATTTGCAATACAGCCCTCGGCTGACTCACGGGGCTCRCACTTGCTCAAGATCACCGCGTCTGGACGCAGGCAAAGGGGCAGCCCGGCCCCCCTGATGGTCATGGGGTGCACGCTGGAGCCCATCACTCCACGTTCCTGCGCAGAYACCCGAGGGAAAGTGCCAGTACCCAGCATGACTCATAGGCTGGGCCTCAGATGCTTTTTTTAGGTGGGGAGGAACGGCCCTTTGGAGCTGCCTGTTTTCCTCTGCTGATTATAAACTCAGGCACAGGCTCACACGTTTTGGGTTTGTGTACTCGCAGAGCAGAGGCACTCTGACCTCTTCAGAAAGGTCATGGTTTTGTTATTGTGACACTCCTTGAAAACCTTGAAATGTCTAAAAATGGCCAACAGAAGTCCAAAATTAAACATCTCCCATGTTCAGCAGCCAACAGAGGAGCCCTTCTGCACACCTTAAATCGAGAAATTAATGTCTCAGTGCCATCTTGTGGAATAACTGGTATAAAAGGACAGGCAAAGGCAAAAGACATCCAATGATTCATGATGCCATCCTACAAGCAAGCTGGCATTTTACAGAATTTGGTGTTAACACTGGGAATTATGCTGCAAATATTATCACCAAACCAAAGATTTCCCTTGTGAACTGGGATTGCCTTTTTCCCTGAGAAGACTGCAAGCCCATGGGACTCTTGTGTTACCAGAAAATACCTGTCCATTCTTCAGCCCAAATCAGAATTTTGAGATGCCTACAATTAATGCCTGAATGCAGGAGACAAGGSCTGTCAGATACACAGCAGCTTCACTGTTTGCCCACAGGGAAAGAATCCACATGGAAGGCTCTCTGACTCCTAGGAGTAAAAAACAAAGTTGCACGTACAGTTGTGGGTGTTGCTGGCCCACTGACACCTTGTCTGTCTGAGAGAKGCTGTGAGATCTCCAAGGCTTGCAGATGCAAGGATCTCAGGCAACATGTAAAGTCAAATGGAAGTCACCTTGTGCAAAAGAAACTTGAGGCTCTTCTTACCACGCCAGCCTGGAGCTCCCGGACCCATGTTTGTGCTCAACCAATAAACATTTGCATGGCAGAGAATGAAGCGACCTAGAAAGGTTTATTCTGTGTCACAGCACAGCTCACAGACCCACAGGACAAAAAACTTCCCACCTAAAAACATGCTGTAGAAACACCCTTGCAAGTAACATGATCCTCATCCATCATAATTAAACGATCCTCAGTATCAGAGACAGACCAGTAATTTACTGCATATTTAGCCAGGCGTTCACTGAGGTCAATAGCTAATCTGTCACTGGAGGAGGGATTACCCCAGTCCATAAAACTCTCCCTGCCAGCAGACATACAATCTATGGAGCAAAGAGAAGAATCAGGTCCCCAGRTTTTTCCTGCTGAGTGCTCTGTGGGTGAAAGAAAAGCCCATGAACTTCTGCCATGCAGTAGAGCAGAGGGAGGCAAGGCCAGGGGCAGCATGAGCAGAGCACTATGTCTCCACCAGGGCAGCTGCTGACATCTCTGCAGAGCTGTCCCCTCCAGGGCCACACTGAGAAGCTGCAGCAGGTTGAGAGGAAAGCGAAGAAAAACAGCAAAGAACCAGGAAAGACTCAAGGGAAAAGGTCTTGAGTGTTCAGTGGATATAAGTTTTTTCATTATTAATCAAAGGTATTAAAACCTTTTCACCGTGGAGAGGTAAGAGCACTGGTGAGCAGGGAAGTAGGCAGAGGGAATCAGGAGATGGAGGAGGAATCAGGACAGCAGAGGTTCTGCTCTGGCAGCCAGATGAGATTGAAGGTCTCTTGAGAACATTGCTGAGGTTGTTTTCTCCTTGCCCTACACGAGASGACAGACAGGGTGGCCTGTGGCAAGGCTCTCTTCTAGTGGGTCGGCAGCTGCAGAYACAGGTGTATTCAACAGGAGAAAATCCTCGCCCTGAATCAAAGCACTGGGCTCTTCCCAGCTGCAGACAGCAGAGCACACGAGCTCCAGGCAGAGCATCCTCGCTGCAGATGAGGCATCCAAATTATCCCGCACAGGCAAACAGCCCTAATCCCATCTATTTAAAAAAACTGGCACCAAACCCCCAGACAATGGGATTAGAATGCAGAGCAGAGCCAAAATTYCTGTTCAGTTCCTGTAGGAGAGGTTAAGGAGAAAGATAGGCTTTAGGAGCACACYAAGGCTATTGACAGCTCCACTGTTCTGGGGTTAGGCTGATCCTGGGCAGAGGCACAGTGTCACCAATGCCCTCATAACAGAAATATTGCATCCCTACCACAGAGCTTTTATAGGATGGCATGGCGAGGGTGGTGGTGGTGGGGGGGGATAAGACTTTGAAGCTGGCTGCTGCTTTATTGGCTTGTTCATCGTTAACCAAAGGAGAGAAGGTGTCTGGGGGTGAGGAGAGGGTGCCAAGTTTCAAAGGGTAACTCGGCTCAGCGCAATGAAGTGTGCCGTCACAACAGGAGAACCAAGGCAGCTGGATGGCGTCAGCAGGGAAAACGCTGGAGAAGACCAAGAAGGCATTCAAGATTCGTAATASTACCATAAGGGAGATGCTGGCAGAAGGACTGGGAACATTCATCTTCATGGTAAGGAGGAATCTATGCATGTGTGCGTGTATGTGTGTGTGTGCAACCATTTAAGGCCCCAGTTTGTAAGCTAAGTGGCTTCCTACCACATCCTCGGGGTTCCTCGGTGGCTGATTGCTGCTGCTCACCCCTCTGCTTTGGTGTGGTGGCAGTTCCCCATCAGGCAGACCATCTGCCAAAAATCTCCCGGAACAAAAAATGTAATGCGGGGAATGGGAGGTGGGTGCAGGGAAAGAGCGAGGTGGGTGGGAGGAAATCATAGTATCACAGAATCATTCWGGCTGGRAAAGACCTTTAAGARTTCAACCATTAACTCAGCACTGCCACAGCCACCGCTAAACCACGTCCCTAAGTGCCACATCTACRTGTCTTTTAAATATCTCCAAGGTATTATATATGTGTAATATCTATCAACCTACCMCTTCCCTAGGCAGCSTGCTCTAATGCTTGACAACCCTGCTGGTGAACAGATTTTTCCCTATAGCCGATCTAAACCYCCCYGGCACTMTCTGAGGCCATTTCCCCTTGTCCTRTCACTTGTCATTTGGGAGAAGAGACAAACCCCTACCTGGCTACCCCCTCCTTTCAGGGAGCCATAGAGAGTGATCAGATGCCCCCTGAGTTCCCTTTTGTCCAGGCTGAACATCCCCAGCTCCCTCAGCTGCTCCTCATAGTTCTTGTGCTCCAAACCCTTCCCTAGCTCCATGGCCCTCCTCTGGACATATTGCTGTTTCAGTTCTTTTCTAGGAGAAAACTGAGGAAGAGCTTGGGAATGAAATCAAAGAGCAGTGTCTACAATGCTTGCCCTGAAAGATCCCATACACTGAATTGAGGCTTTTCCTCCTCCTGTACCAGAGGTGTAGTTGGGGTGGTCTGAACAGGTCTGGGGAGCAGACCCTGACTYCTCCATCAGTGACAGCTGCTGTGAAATGAAAACAGCATTCATCCATCTTCCTCTCAGGGTTGCCAGGGTAAGGAGCTTTCCAGAGAAATTCTCCAGAACCACAACCCACCATTAGGAAATGTAATTACAGGGCATGAAACATGCCAGGATTTCACTTGTGATTTCCTTGCTGTCAATTAAATAGTGCCTATATAAACCATACATAACTGYCCCCTCACCTGAGAGATCTGTTTCATAAAGAAATAATTAAGTGGGTTTGAGCTCTTGAGATGCTTCAGAAATGTTTAGTCAGAGGGCAAGGAAGGTTTTGCTGTCAGAATTGACCCCGCTGRGGGTRAAGTRCCCACTGAGACCAGAGACACTGAGKGCTGGACCAACACAGGAGAATGAGATCCTTTCTCTGAGAAGATCCTGCATCTCTCTGTGCCAACTKGCTACACCTGGACTTAGCCTGGGCTGAGACACTTTAGACTGGACAGAGGCTGGCATGCAAGGGCTGARCATAACCCAAATAACTTGTACTTGGAGATTTACAAAGGAAGAAGTTAAGATCTGTGCAMGCACAGGGACCTTCTGACACAGCTTTCTGTACCGAGAAAGGCATTCATTTCCAAGGGCAATGACTGCCCCTGCAGAGCACCGTTGCCTTTTATCCCACTCTATTGCACATCCACCTCCTTGAATTTCACTCCCAAGCAGTTTTGCACCCACAATAAGTCAGAATACATCTGTGATTCCTCTGTGGCAGCTTAGCAAACAGTTTTGTTTTTTGCCTTCTCTGTTATTTAGTGTATTAACTCCTTGGTGATAAAGAACAAGGTCAGGGTTGTCCTGCCTGGACAGTCTCTGGGAAGCAGAATGAGCTGGAGACTTTTCTCTGCACTCTGACAGCTCAAGGCACAAGGCAGATTTTGCAGCCTGCAGCTCACACTGTCTCTTCCTTCACTGATCCTTGTGAAGGAGCAGAGAAAAGGAGGGCACTGCACATGGGCCCCATCAAGCTGCACCCAGTATGAGAATGAAGCATCCAGCACCCAACTGTTCAGCAGCACCTTGGCCCTCAGTGCAACAGGCAAGGTGCAGGATTCATCTCCAGGATGCTTCTATGGCTGCTGTTTGGACAACAGCACTCATCCCCAGGGCCTGTCAGTTTAGTGGACAGGCAGTATTCATAAGAGGACCAGGCAGTGGGACTAAACAGCCCAAGGACTAGGGAAGAAGGAAAGAAAAGAAAGKGGGACTATTTTGGGACTATGAGGATACAGGAAGAAAACGGAGGTTTGGATCTGTGCTGAAAAACAGATTCTGTGGCCTATCTTGTGTTTTTTTCAGGACAGTGCTGTTAATGCTCAGTTGTGTCTCCTGCCCTGCRCCCCTCTCTTTGAACCTGCATGCTCCCTGGCAAAACCTGTGGTTTGCAGATTTGTTGTCTCTTGAATYTGGTTTTGGAAAAATCAGAGATGAATATGCAGAATTTTTGCAAGGGCTTTGCAGGTGCTGGGGGTCATCACAAACTGGTTTTGGGGGCTTTTGCTGAGACAGGCTCACACTGTGGGGGCTGTAGCTCTGTAGCTCTGCAGAGCACAGAGTGTGGTCTGTGTCTACAACAGAGATAAGAAGAGCAGCATCTCTGGGGAACAGGGGATTTGGGTGAGGTCTGAAAGCAATGAGAGAAGCAGATACATAACACAATTTGGATCCAGGCAGAGTAGCCAGAAAAGATCACAGCTAAAACAGTACAAGCCAAAGCAGAAGTTTATATGCTGGAGAACATATTGACCTTCTTGTCTTTGAAAGAGATGTCACCCTGGATAAACATCAGTSCAGTYCAAGGAATAAGAWACAYYTTCCCAACCCTCAGTGGTTTGTGARGCAGAAACCACAAGAGATGCCTTGTCCTTCTACAGATTTCAGTGTAAGAGCATGCAAAGAACTGATTTTTCCACATTAAAAACATGAAACAGAATTCTCTCTTTCAGACCAGAGCAATGTCTTGACTTTGTGTTTTCCTGCTGGAGAGTCTTTACCTTTAGTTTTTTTGCTGGTTCGCCTTTAGTCACTACAAAAACATTGAAACTTTGGCTGTTCCCAAACTATAAGTACATGTGTTGAAGGGAAAGTCAAACCATAATTTCCCTTCTTGTCTTTTGCTGGAATGTTCCCAAAATTAAGAGTTGAGTTTGGCAAATGGCCATATACTGCCCCAACTACATTTTAGTCAGTAAATTGCACACCAGGAAAAGAAGGACAGCAAGAATTTGCACACCTTTCTTCCACGTGTCTTGGACGTTGTCTCTTGGTGGACCACAGCGATGCTTTCCTGGTTCATGACCCTGTTTTCAGGCATAGATGTCTGCACCATGGCTGAGTGAATGATCCCCACTGAGCCCCAGCTCTTTTTGTGGCTGTTTGGGGTTTATCTCCCCATACCTAAACACAATAAGAGTGGTTKGCTTGGTTTGATGGGCACCAATGAGGAATATCCCAGATATCACTTCTGTTATTGCAGGGAAAGGTTGCTCTTTATTTTCTGACCATGGTAASCTTAGTGACTTCTGTCTTTGAGAGTTCATTACTTTTGTGCAAAAAACAGCACAAGAAGCTCAGTCTACCACAGCAGCAAGCATATTTTCAACACTCCTTTCTCTCTTCCTTTTCACACAGGTTTTTGGCTTGTCCTCTGTGGCACAAGTGGTATTGGGAAAAGGAAACAGTGGTCAGTATCTGAGCATCAATATGGCATTTGGCATTGGTGTTACCWTGGGCATCTATGCGGCTGGAAAAATATCTGGTGAGCAGCACTGCCAAGCATGGGACATATCCATGTCCCATAACTGGGGACAGCAGCMGTGGGCTATGGAGGGGTGGGTAACAGCATGGCAAGGCAGGGCAGTGCCCTCAGCCCCCAAAAAGGCAGCCCTAGAGTCCCCAGGCAAGAAAACCAGCAGAAACCAAGACAAGGCATGCACAGCATAGGTACAAACTTGTGATCTCAGCTGTGACAGGGTAAGCAGGACAGGGCGTGTGGAGGAGGTTTGGCCACCCTGTCCTATTGTGGCCAGCAGAGCCAGGTTTCAGCAGCCCCCCTGTTTGAGACATGGCTCACAGAGACAGGCAGCTCCCAAAACGTGCTGCTGATAAGAATCATGGGAAGTAAATAATTTATTGCAAAGACCTTGCTGCTGATGTTGCAAAAGGAATGGTATGCAAATTTTCTTCTTATCACACATCCCATGCATAGACACCCCACATGAACTCAGGAGGTGGTGTTTCATGGCCATAGGGTGGCATCCCTCTCATAACAAGAGCATTTTTGTCTTCTTTGCCTTCAGCAATTTTCACATTCATTTGCACCGAGAAGACATTAAGGGCTCTAATGGGCAGCAAGTTAAAGAATCTCCTTGCTCTTGAACTCTTGGAGCAGGGAGAGGTCCAAACCTGCAGCTGGCTTGGAARGGAACAATTTTCCATGCAGGCAGTCAGCTCTTGGCTTTCTTGTCCTTTTGGACCTTGTGGAAACATCCTGGACTTAATGAGGAAAGTAGGTCCTGCAGTCACAAGTGACTGTTGAGAAGGAGCTGATCTGTTGACGGGAGAGGGCAATGCAGAAAGGATCTCAGCTCAGCTAGCAATAGTATGGTTACAAAACAAACTTCAGAGCTTCCTGACACAGTAATTTGGCTTCATCTGTGTCACCAGATGCTTCTAGTRATCTCTGAAATGGCTGGTCATACCCACAAAGGAGCAGAGGGTCAAAGAAGGGATGTGTCCCTTTTCCAGTTGTGGTTGTTGGACTGTAGCAGGTGGCACATGCACTTTCACCTCCCTGTGTCCTGCACTTTGATGAGATGATGGGTGTCTGCAYCTTACCCCTTTTGGAGTCTGGAGCAGGAGATGGTCATGAAGGTTGGAACATTTAYTGCCCCTCAAAGTTTATATCTACCAGGTAGGAAAAACAAACATCTCCTTTAGACTCCTGGTGACAGGAGGCCTGGAGAACAYGTGTGGTTTGCACCAAGGACAACAGACATGGATTCGTTTAGTCTTCAAAAGCACCATTGTGATACCAACTTCCTCCACAAAAAATGTTCCATCAAAACACAGCTTTTGATGTTTCTCATCTACCTGTAGCCACTTAAAAAGTGCTGAAGTACAGGCCTTTTTTAAGCTTAATAGGGAGAGGCACACTGAGAAACACATAGGGAAACTCATGCCATCCCAAGAGATGAATGTCTGACAGGTAAGATGACCCACTCTCTGGTGGCAGCCTGTGGTTTGCAGAAGTTTCAGAAGACTAAAGCTAGGAGCTCTCTGACCTGCATGATCCATGTGCCCAGGGAGAAAGGCTCATTTTGTGTCKGTGCAGCAGTAAGACTCTGTCCTGAGAAAGCCTTGCTGTTCTGGAGCAAAGTCCGGGTGATCACTGTAACACATGGGGCATAGAACCACAGAATAYTTTGGGTTGGAAGAGACCTTTCAAACTCATTCAGTCTAGYCACCCAGCATTGTGCAGGGACATCTTCAACTAGAGCAGGTTGCTTAGAGCCCTGTCCAGCCTGGCCTTGAATGTTCCCAGGRATGGGGCATYCACCCTGTTRCRTGYTCCAAAACAGCTGCATCAGTGCTGAGGCCTCTCTTTTTCTGTGATTTTTCAGGAGCTCATCTGAATGCTGCCATCACCATTACACAATGGCTTTTAGGAAAAATCACCTGGACAAAGCTTGCAGCTTATATAATCGGCCAGTTCCTGGGCTCCTTTATAGCAGCAGCCACCGTCTTCGCCCTSTACTATGGTAGGGTTGTGTCTCTTACCACAGAGGTTGCTGTAGGCATCATTTCAGTCAACTCATGTTGTCCAAAATGTCCTATTACCAGCACCCAGTGTGATTCCTGGGTGAGGAGGGCAAGCTCCTGGCTTGTGGGACAGATTCACAGCTCAAGTTCAGAGCAGGTCCAAGCTGTAACTCTGGGGAGGATGTACAGCTTGGATAACACAGCTCCTTTTACTCAGGGCATTCCCACTTCCACAAACTGTCTTCAGCTGAAGGGCAGTAGCTGCATTTTGTCAGCATTTTATTTCCAGTCTGCAGGGGCTTTATTTACATGAATTACCATGTATTAGGTGCTGCTGGAGCCCTGGGGGACTGGGAACAGACTGTTCTGCTGGTCTGTGGAACACAAGCTGGCAGACATCAGGGGTTTTGAGCTGTGAGCAGAGGACCCAGCTCCTGTTGTCTCAGTCTCTGAGGGGCAGGGGGTTGGAGGCCTCCAACCAGACCATCCAGATTATCCTTACTACCAACTCCAAGTTCCTGGAGCAGGGATAAGGTGCTGGTAGGTGTACGGAAGTGATGGCAGACTGAAGCCTGTGGGTAATGGATACTGGTGCATCATGTCCTGTGAGGAGTGTGTCACCTCCCTCACATTTGCCATTGCCTCCCTTCTCCCTGGTGTCTGTGCTGGCTGCAACAGGTGCACTTGTGTGCGTGTCCTGTGGGATGAACGTTGTGCTAACTTCCGTGATTCCCACCTCTCCTAGATGCTATTTACCACTTCACCAACGGGAGCCTTACAGTGTCRGGACCAACTGCTACAGCACACATCTTCTCCACTTACCCTGCTGCCAACGTATCCTTGGAGGGAGCCTTCTTCACAGAGGTCAGTGGGAATGGCTGTGGTCTGGTGGGTGCTAGCAGGGGCAGCTACAGAGCTGCTACAGGGTCCCCACAGCCCTACATGTCCAGRCACTACCACAACCTCATCCCCAAGGAGCTCAGCATCCAGGCAGGGGCCTGAAAGGTAAGATCCAAGGCATCTTGGTGGCTGGGCAAGCCTAAAGGGTAATGCCTGCAGGCTGYTCTGCAGCTTGGTCCAAGACACCCTCACAGCATGGAGTGCAAGCAGTGGGAAGTGAGAAGCTGGGCTGTATCACTTCTCCTTTGGATTCTGGGCTGAACTGCTCCTTCTCTATTTGGATTCTACTCCCACTCCCAGCTCCACTGGCTGCCCTCCCTGGCACAGAGAACCTGGGACTGTCTCTGCATGAGCAAAGACTGGATTGAACCTCTGTGTTTGAACARTTCCATTGAGACTGTGTGCAGTGGATTCCCAGCTCACAGCACAGTGTCCAGATGCCCMGAAATAGCAAAAAGAAGCTTGAGGGTGTGACACTGAGACACTGGAGAAAGAAGATTCACTTCCAATCCAAATCTTAGGAAGCCTGTGATTTTGGCTGTGAGCTGACTAAACTCCTGCCTGGGCATATGGAGAGGATGGTGGAAGAGCTTAGAGGTGGGCAGCAGATGACCTCAGCCTCCTGGGGACCAGGCAGTGTCCTTGCTGCACAAGAAAGCAAATAAGAGTTACAGTACCTTGCAAAAAGCTGCAGTTTCTCRTTTTGCTGGTGACTGTTCAAATCTCTCCAGGTGCATTTTCTGAAGTAGAAACAGACAGATGTCATCATCTCCATCAAAACTTTAATTCCTGATGACCTGGGCACTGCAAATCTATAAATGATGTAGTCATTGATGGGAAATTTGGTTTCCCAGGTGAGAATCTGAYGTCTGTATAGGGGCTATATAAAATATCTCCTCCTCCAGGGAGAATCAGAGTTGTCTCATGAGCCGTTTGTTATGGTTCTGCTTCTATTAGATGGAATGCACTTACATTTCCTTGACTTGAAAGGTGGAGAGAGAAGTTGCTGAGAAGTTCGTATCAGTCTTGATGATGATGTGAACACATTTTTGTTGAGGAATGAGTCACGAATTTTCTTCAGTCCACCTGTGAAGAGGGACTAACATTTGGGTCTTCCCTGCCTTGATTAGACCATTAATCTCATCTGCTCTCTCATTCTGGGAAGTCTCTCCCCCTCTGCTAAGCAGGWTTCTTCAACCTTCCCAATTCTCCCTCCTGACATGTTCTCCCTTTTCTGCTCCTGCAGTTTATAGCAACAGTTATGCTGATTCTGGGCATTCTAGTCATCCATGACGAGAGAAACAACGCAGCCACGAAAGGTGCTCAGCCCATGCTGACAGGCAYGCTGGTCTTGGGCATCGGTCTGGGGATGGGGATGAACACAGGCTATGCCATAAATCCCTCCAGGGACCTGCCCCCCAGGATCTTCACGGCAATGGCTGGCTGGGGAATGGCTGTCTTCACGTGAGTGACCTGTTTTGCTCTTACGCTGCTCAGCTTGCAAGGGAAAGAAATAAACAGAAGATAAAATGTATATGAAGCCTTTTTCTTTGGACCAAGTGATGGTACCACTGCAGAGTGTGAGGGTTGTGCCTAGAGAAGCTCTATGCATTATATACCCAAAATTTGGAGTACACTGATTGTCCTGCATGGGACTTGCCTTGCCACTCAGAYAGCCCAGTTTGGGCACCATACTCTCTGCAAGTCCCCTGGAGATCCAGTTGATTTTTGCTGTGACCAGTGTGCCTGAATGCATTCAGCTTAGTTGAAAACAGGTACTAAATTGCTGAAATATGTCTCCTAAATTCAAAGTCTGAATTTGGAGATGAAACCCTGCCTTTCTCTGCCTAGTATGATGATGCCYGAGAGTCACACTCATGGTGACTAAACAGCCTGTTTCTTCTGGAGAACAAGAAACCTGCACCTTTCCATGCTGATGGGGAAAAGGACCTTCCTTCCAGCAATTATGTAGAGGGATAGCATATTTGTCTAAGCCAGTTGTAGGCTTAGTATATGGAATGGGACAGACTCCTGTGCTCACACAGCTCGCTCTTGCCTAGCAGACTCAGCCCAGCTCACCCTGCACCAAGTGGTGACAGAGCAGTAGCTCCAGTGTGGCTCACCAGCTGCCTCTTCTGTGTTTCATTTTAGGTCTGAACGTTCCTGGTGGTGGGTTCCAATYGCAGCTCCAATTCTGGGATGTCCTRCTGGTGTTCTTATCTACAAAATCTGCATTGATTTTCACAATGAGCCTGCCCCTGAAACTGAGAAAGAACAGGCAGAYGCAGAGAGTTCCACACTGTGATGGCCACGTGCTTTGATGATACATGTGAAGGGCACATCTGTTTGTCCACCATGCAGGTAGACAGATGAGGGACTAGATTTCAGTAAACCTACTCTGCTCAAACAGACAAACTTGGTATCCGAGATATTGGGCAGACCTGTGTAGGGCTAGACCTGACCRTGACCTCAAGAAATTATTTAATCTCCCAGTGTAAAAATCTGAAAAAAACCCCAAAACTCAACCCCCAAACAACCATCACATTCTGAGGAAAAGCAAGCAGAGCTACAAGTCTYCTGGCAGACGGAACATTATTAAGCTAGTTTGCATAGAAATTTTGCTCTGGAATATTCTTTGGTAAGAGGTAGAAGTTGCAGCAATGGACAAGGGGCTTCARCTTGCTTTCATTTGCATATCTGTCACCCTAACAAACACTTAGTTTGGCAGAGTACAGTAAAGAGAAGAGCAAGGATGATGAACCTGTTGGCTTTTTTTTTCATGCTTGTATTTTGTTTTTTGATCTGAACATTCAGGAAGCATTAAACAATTAGAAAACTAAACAACAGGGTCTCCTGAATACTGCCACCGTTCTGCTGGAACACACTGAACYGTATTTATTACTGACAGACTAGACTTGAGCTACACCAAGTACCACACGAAAGAAGTCAGACAACTTCTGTGACAACATCCCCAAAAACTCAAACAAAAAGTTCTAGCAAACACTTTTTGCATGAGAAATGTGAGAAGAGGTTGCCCCGCTGCTGCAGGAATTCTGCTACCTGCATCTGAATGAGGAAGTTGAGCTGCAACAGCCTTACCAGTTTAAGGTGTCATTGGATTAAAGGCAGCACACTATCAGAAGCTGCCTGCCCCCAGGAGGGGTGACAGCAGTCTCAACTTGTCTAGAAAGTGTTAAGCAAATACGATAGGTTTGTCAAGCACATAACTGCAGTCCCAGGGCTGAGTGCCATGAATAACCAACAGAGATCTCCAAGGGCAGGAAGGGACAGAACATCACAACTGCACAGAATTCCAGAAAACAGCATTTACTGGCTTTAATGATCATTCCCATCTCAGTGTTAAAAGGATGACTGATGGATTACAATGGCATGAGGTGAGGCTGAGTGGTAGGTACTGACATCTGCTTTCTCATTAGAGCTGACTTTTTATCAGTAGAGAAGCTACAACGAATCCTCTCCTGTCTCAAGATGCACATGGACCTGAGAGCATTAGAGGATTTCTTGTCATCTGGAGGTGAGAGAGAGTGGTTGCCAGGCAATCCAGCAACTGCATTTGAAGGTGGGTCCTGGGCAGTGCTGGAAGCCAGCAAAATATGCCTGAGCGGYGGCTGCTGGCTGCAGAAATTTTGCCAGGTGACTGAAGAATAGAAGTGGAACAGCTGTCACAGCTCARTCTTTTGGCCTACATGAAATAAACTGGGAATTTCTGAGTAGCTCAAGAGGGATTAACTAAAAGCACTGTAATCCATCCCTTCTTAGTGAGAGAYTCTCCATTACAGTAAATAACAACCCAAACAATCCATCCTGCACACTGCTCTTGCCTTACATCCTTTGTATCCCAAGACCATGTGTTCCCCACAGCATCTTCAAATACCCAATCACTCTGGAGGAAAATACTCAAATATTTATTAAAACACTATTAAGCACTTACAGGATGCCTTCATCTTTCTGAAGGCCATACAAATACTCATGAAAGCCTCACAACATTCCTGTGAGGTAGGTTTGTCTTGTGTAATTATGTGGTAGTTTCAAAAATTAAAGATGATGCTGCTTAAATAGTCAATGCTTATTTGAAGACAGTGACTTTGATTTCCATATTTAGGCACGAAATGTGCTGGGTGCTACCATGATTCCAGCTTATTTGGAAGACAGAATAGCATAGAAAAGTAATGGAAACAATCAGGTGTAACTGAAAAACAGCAGTGAATGGGTTAAAGTGCAGTCTAACCTGAAAACTTACAGTATAGAAAACAGCATCAGGGGCTTCTAAAGGCTGTAGCATCTCAGTGGCCTCTGGTGAGATCCTGCCCAACTGGAAAGTGTCAAAGGCTGTTTCAATGGTCAGCTTTGCAAATGAATGTGTGACAAATCAAGGGGTCCTTCTAGCTGATGGGATTCAACTCTGCTCAGTGGCTCCCACAAAAGGGAGGCAATAAGGGATCTTGCAGGTTCTGGCTGCTTCAGGATTATTGCAAATCACAAAGCCATCTGAAAAGATACAGCACAAAGGCCAAAAAGTGGTCTGGGCTGTAGWGCAAGTGGTCCATCACACTACAAATCCCAGAGCAGAAGCTGGAAGGAGCACAGGGAAGTGCAGAGTTTGATTCTATCTGGAGTGAAAGATACTTCTCTGTTCAGTGGGCTCCAGCCTGCTCCCACAGCATGCAAGGTCAGGACAGTTTTCTTTCAAAGGACATGGCAGAAATATCTTYCATCTTCAGCATGGGTCCGTTAAAGTAATGGTGAATTACATTTGCTTTCATTTCACTGCTGCACTTGTACAGGAACAGAAGCTTCCCTATGGAACAGTGACATCAAGGGTTCCTTCATGCCCTCTKAAAAATATGTGCTGCAAGTAGCAGAAGGGAATAAAATCTCAAGTGTTTTTCTAAGAGTCTCCAGGAACTACATCCACATTGCAGCTATATTTCATGCAAATGCTCAATGTGTTTTCCATGGGCACATCTATTCATGCACAAGGAACTTGGTCTGAACCAGTGAGGCTCTGCAGCAGAAAACATTAAAGCTTATTGCAAACATTGTCCASGGTCAGATTTGGTGGGCTCACTTCTTTGAAGAATTCCCAGCTAGTGAGGATGTCTTGGCAGTGGTCATGCTTGTGTGACTCTTTTGGGAGCCTGGCGGCTGTGAGGATGGTTTCTTCTTGAGCAYTGGAGTTTTGTTCTTGCTTTTAAATACCTTGTTGGGGTCCAGCTTGTTCACAAAGTAATCAGCTTCTTCAGACAGGAGTGCTGTGTTGATGGTTATGGGTTTATACATGTTAAACCATTGCTGAAAGGCAGGATGGTAGGGAAGAACAGGTTAAATTCACACTGCAGTTAGACAATTCCACCTTGCTCCCTGTCTTCCCCTGGACATTATTTTAATCCCATGCTATTTATCAATTTTACCAGTTTACAGGACTTGGAAGAGTACTTGATAAGGATACATAAGGCATGGTACAACCCCAGTCCTGGAACTGCATTCCAGACAGGGAAGAGGAGAACCAGACACAACCCTAACACCACCGTTCCTGCAGTGTAACCCCTATCAGGACCAATTCTTGATTTAAACCACATGAGGAGAAGCAAAGGGAGGGGATGGAACTAAACCATATTTATTTAGATTCAGATAAGCAGAAAGGATTAAAAACCTTGGAATTTAAATGTGTGTATAAACTGAAAACTAACTACTTGAATTTCTCAAAATGTAACCTTTCTTCCTCTCTTCACACATAAAAAAATGACTTTTTAAAACTCTTTTTACAAAGGATTTTGTGTTACTGTTTCTAACTAGAATTAATTACAACTTTTTTTTGTCTGCAGCGGATATCTTGACATTATGCCCTACATTTCTTAACTCTTTTTTTTCACCTACTACTCTTCCATTGAAAAAATCAGGAAGCTAAACCGTAGGAGTAATAGTATTACAAATAACACTGAAATGATCAGCAAAGTGTTGAACAAGATAAACAGAAGATCAATACCAAAATGTAGATAGCAATCTATTAATGTACTGCTAAGAGGAAAATGGCTTTAATACACCCCCTTGAAAACCTTTAAAAATGATAMTGGTTAACAAACTAGGAGGGTTTTAACCAACACGGTCTGCAAGTGATTAGGGAATATACAAATGATTCCTCTTAAGATTGTAAATATRCTATTCATAATAAAGTATTTATAGCAGGAAAGTTACAGAAAGGCAGAGAGCAGTACCATGTACAGCCTTGACTGATGAARCACAACACAGTATAACAGGGAAGGCATCAGGAATGAAAAGAAAAAAATTCTAGAGCCACTATTGGATGGGAAGTCAGGAGTGATTTTAGTAATTCTGATGTGCACACAGGACCAGGGAATGCCAGCTGTCATGTCTGGGTGAAGTGAAGTTCCAACAGGCCTTGCCAAGGTACACTAACACTGCACTGTTCAGTAGGACTATCAGCTCCAATCTCTGACCTCTCACAGGATGGAAGCAGGGATAGGGCTGAAGGCCCAGTCACATGCAGAGACATGGCAGAAACCCCTAATAGCAGGATTCTGGAACAGCAGAGTAGTAATTTTAATATAATAAGGGACTGGAATGGTCACAACTTTTTATGTAGAGGTCTTGTGTAACTACCTCTAGGACTTTAAATTGCCCTTTTCTGTGTGTAATTTTTATTAAGGCCAAATTGCCATGAAAAAAACAGAGTTAACACAGTACTGTAAATTCAAATTACTGTGAAACAAGTGACTGTTAACATGTTAGAAGGAGAAAACTTCTTGGCTCACCAGGGAGGCTGCCTTGAGCCTYCAGAGTACTTGCCAAAAGGTGAGAAGATGTTTTTCCAATCTATAACTATGCAAAATACTGACAAGCTGGACTCTGCTGTCCTACCTTGGCCTGGGGGCTGACCCCATAGCTGGTGAAGGCGTACTGCCACTGTGGGAGACCCAGGTGGGTGATRAGCAGGCGGTAGTAGGCTGTGAAGGTTTTGGTGAGGAAATGCCAGTACAGAGCTCTGTCCAGGAACCATATCTCTGTGTCTGGGGAGACCACTAGAAGAAAGCAAGCACAAATTACACTGTTGCTTGAAGTGGTAAGATTAACCCCTGGCCATTGTCAGGTGGGAGACACAACATACTCATCAGAGAGGCTGTTTTATGTACATCCAGGGCCACCCCAGCTCAGGTGAAGAATCCAGCACTTGTCTTTGTTAAACTTCATATGGGTGGTAGTTGCACATCTCTCAAATTTGTTGAGGTCTTTCTGCAGGGCCTTTGAGGCTCTTTAAGCCTCATCAGCTCCTCTCAATTTATCATCATGAGCAAACTTAGTATCCCCTCCAGTCCTGTGTGAAAGTTGTTTATGAAGACATTGAAGAGCACTGGCCCAATATGGAGCTGTGCAGAACCCCACAAGTGAGCAGCTGTCGGCCTGATGTGACCCYGTTTACTATAACCCTTTGTGCCCTACCCATCAGCCAATGTTCATCCACTGCATGAGGTATTTGTCTAGCTGTGCGCTGAACAATGAATGCAATGCTGCTCCTTCACTACCTGGGACTGACACGCTATGTGGAACATTCKGGGACATCGGCAACTTTGTAGTACAAGTTCAAAGTACAATTATGGCAAACATTTATCTGACCCACAAAGTGAAAACCAACTAACTCAGTTGTAAGTCATCTGGATTACTGAATAGAGTCCAGAGTCTGGAAGTCATGGGAGTGTGTGCTGCCAACAAAAACACATTTTGCAAAATCTTCCCAAGTGATCAAGTATTTCTCTGGTGGTGACACCCTGTGTAGCATAAAAAGAAGTTACTTTCTTGGGATATTGAGATGCTGAACATTATAATTTAAACAGACTGCTTCTGTGTTGATATTGACATTGCAACCAATGCTCCTTTCCCTTGCCCAGGTTATCCACTGTATGTGCTGAAATCACTAACACTGGAAGGCAAGGGGACAAGAACTTCCTGCCATGGCAGTTGTAGTTACACCCAACGAAAGATAACAACCCAAGATTTTTCTTAAGAATCTGTATATTGCACTTGCACACCCACACATATAAACACACATCCATCTAGTGACCTGTGCACTGTGTCCGATGACACCTACTTTACAAGTGCCTTGGGTGTTTCACTGCTCACTCACTGATAACACCTATCTCTGTATCTGCCAGAAGAAACAGCTCAGATCCCATTTCTCACCCTCCCATTAACCCTTCCTGCCACATTTTGACCTAGTTAGCACCTGGGGGCTCTGCATACATGCACAAGGTGGAAGAACCAGTCTAATTGTGTAACAGCCAGCTGAGGTCTTTTTCTACCTTCTATCTTTTTTTTTTAAGCAGACTTATACCCTTTCTCATCAAAATAGAGCTTTGTTCCAAGACATGAACTAACCAGAGATAAATTAGTAGAGCTCTGTATTATTTCAACACAATTGTCTGTAGGTTACATRTGAATGCTTCCCTGTTTATATGCATGCAGAAATCATAAGTTATAACTCAGACTCCAACATTAGAAGCAGTGAGAAATGTTAGCTCTAGTTAAGTCTCTGTAAGGCTTCGTTCCTGACTTAGTCCAGACAGGACACTCTAGTAGAAGTTTAATCTACAAATTGCAAAGAATATCAGAAATACAAGATAACTCTYCACATGTGGCCTCCAGATACAATCCACAAGAGATAGCTATATTTTCTCTTTTCAGTCTTACCTGGTTCAGCATGCTTATAAACAAGACAGACTTTCCCATTCCCATTGCATGGGTCTAATTCAAAGATAAGACTACGAGAATCAAAGTGTGGCTTCTCTGGTTTGTCTCCATTACCTGAAAAAAAAGAAAAAAATTAAAGAAACATGTTTGGAAAACTGTGACTCAGTTGCAAAGAGTTTTATGCTTATTAATATATTAACTGATGAAGAACTAAATCAAACTATTGTATTTATACTTCTTGGAAATGATGAAGTTCCCTATGCTTAAAATAAAACCAAGTGAAAAAAATGTGAGCAAAATTTTCATCTCCATTAGGAAAAAAACCACATTGTCAAAAGCAGGCTGAAAATAGATGACCTGACTTCTAGTTCCTCCCTGGCATTAAGAAAGTTAGGGTTTACAGATGTCATTCCTGAGGTAAATTTAATCTTTTCTTGAAGTTCTCCATTGTTAGTGGTGGCACAGTCTCTAGGCAGTGAACCTAAATCCATCACTTATCACTTAGAACTCTGTTTTCCTCATGGATCCTGAATCTTCCCTGCTMTAACTGAAGCCCTTTACTTCTGTAGTATATACCATTCCTTTTTTTATTATCATTTATTTTTTCCTAAGGCAGACAGGGAGAACAATTTATTCTTTTTCTCTTGGGACAAGACTTTAATAAAATTGCAGGTATACATATTTCTCCATACATTCCCGTGTGAGATGAGCATCCTCCTCAAGAACATCAGACTTTTATTCAACTTATGACCCACAACCACYACCAACCATTTCTACAACACTGTTTTAGGACCTAAAGCTGATGGGGAAGAAGTGGGACATAAAAGCTGTACACTTCAGAAGAATTTTCCATGATAGTCAGAATGAGAACTTCTGTGGGAATGTAATTTTTTTCTCAGTGTACCTGTACCCGTAAATGCATCAATGAAGGTTTAAACCACTAAACAGAGGCAGAATTTGGTGCATTTCATTACAATGGCTAGAAGATCAAGACTGCAGCCAAACTGTCCAAAAATACTTGCAGCCACATTCAGAAGCTAGAAGAGCCATAGGTATGCAGAGACAAGACTGAAATCAAATAGCATTCTCTTAAGAAATCGGTGTGAACTTGGCTGTATTCTTATCCTCTTCATTTTCCCAGGTGGACTGTAAGAGCTCTGACAAAATGAGTGAGCTTTTATTTTCTTTCTTCTTCTCTCCAAATAGCAGTATTCCCAGCATTTTTAGGCATCCTAGAACACACATTTTCCAGGGTAACCTCACAGTCACATGCATGTACCAGTTACTTTTCCAATTCCATTTGTCTTTTCATTACCAAAATAAAACCCGTTACCTTTTGTTCATGTAACACCATAAGCACACAAAGACTTTAGAAGCTGAATCACTGGAGCAAGGCTCAGGTGAAAGTTTGAACAGCAAATAGATACCACAGGAAGGCTGACAAGCTGTTAAAAGAGGATGCAAATAACACTAATCCCCATGACATTCACAGCATACACATCTACCTGCCAAGGCTGTAGGGATTAATAAGACATGTAATAGATCCACATCAGGACACAGACAGTCACAGAATCATAGAATGGTTTGGAGTGGAAAGGGAGCTCAAAGGTCATCTTGTTTCAACTGCCTTCACATGGGCAGGAACACCATTCCCTAGACAGCTTGCCAGGCCAAATAAACCCCATCCACCTGGAGTGACCTTATCTGTTGCTGTATCTTTGAACGCAAGGGACATTAAAGATCATCTTGTTCCAATTGCCCTGCTACGTGGATAGCTGAGGTGCTAAAAGAATTGGGTTTGTTCAGCCAGGAAAAGAGAAGGCTTCAGGGTGACTCAAGTGTGACCTTCCAGTATCTGTAAGGAAGCCTATAAGAAAAGATGGACATTTTACAAGGACACAYAGTGACAGAACAAGGTGCAATGGCTTCAAACTGACAGGGAGTAGGCTTAGATTAGATGCTAGGAAAAAAAATTTTTACTATGAGGGTGATGAGGCACAGGTTGCCCAGAGAAGCTGCGGACACCCCAATCCTGGCAATGTTTAAGGCCATGTTGGATGGAGCTCTAAGCCACCTGGTCTAGTGGAAGGTGTTTTGGCCCACATATCTTGTGCTACATCCTAACATTACTTTAATAGAACAAAAGGGATGAGACAGCAGGTTTTCTAGCCTGTTAACAGTGCCTTACCTTCCTCATCTGTGTCATCTTCCAGGTCAGCAAGAGTTGGAGCATTAGGCAGAGTGTACATAGAGGAACCCCCAAGCCGACACAGCTTTGAGATACTGTTAATCACCATGGAGCCCAGGGGCATTGGGGTATCTGCAACAAGACTGATCATTAATCACATCCAGTGTCAGGAAAGCATTGGAAGTACTTCTTTTCCTCCAGACATCAACCATTGTGGGGTGAAGAGATGGTTATACCCAGCAGCCCTGGACACTTAACTAAGTAAGACTCTATAGGAGCAAAAATGAGGCTTTTTACAACACAGACTCACACTACATGTGATCCAACATCATCTCAGGGCTGTAAAGGTATGAGAATTAAACTCTATGCTGCAGCTGTTAGCTCATTACCATGAAAAATTAAAAATCCTGGCTACAGGATTTCAGCTACAGCCTCTTCCTCAAAAATCTTTTCTGTGCTGGTGCATTTCCTACTAGAAACCACCCAGCCATGTGCCATGGATCTCAGAAGGCACTGCTGGATGTTTCCTCAAACAAGACAGTTGTATCAGCAGTCTAGGTCTCTCTGCAYTTGTGAGCTCTGAAAACAACACTCCTCAGAGGTCACAACACGATAAATCGTACTTGAAACATGACAGGACTCACTGCAGGTGCTAAAGCACTGATGTCAACTGTCATTGAAATGTCATTTCACTTCCTGAGAAAGACCCTGCATTTGAYACCCATCTTCAGGAGTGAGCAGTGTCCACAGCCCAGTTTGAAAACCCTACTTGAAGGCAATGGGAGCCAGGATAATAGCTGCAGAGTGAACAAACTGGGCCAAACAAGGATGGAAAATGAAGCTTGGACTTTGGGTGGTGGAAAGCARAATCACGCTCCAGCATGTACATACACATTTTAATAAAAAGCATTATCAGGGGGTGACTGATTTATGATGGGAGAATGAAGTACAGCTGTTTCTCTCTCCCTGAACCTGCAGACAGAGTTAAGGTATGAGGTTTAAATGACACACCTGAATCTGAGTGTCAACAGATGGCCAGTGTATTACAGAACAGTATCTATGTCACAAAAAACTGTTTCATTGCCAGAGTTCAGTGCATGCACCTCTTCTGTGGGAACCTAGAATACGCAAGCAATAGATTTTGCCCTGAGAGATGTGTATTGATTGTGCAGAAAGTAATTTTGGAATTAAAGAGGTCCTGCAAAGGAAGCACTGGCTGCAATGAAATGAGGGTCTCAGTGGAGGGGAACATAGGGACTCACCATCGGTCTTCACACTCCAGGTCATCTGGAAGCCATCAGTCATCAGATAGAAGTTCTTTAAATCTTCTGGTAATACACAGGAGTTTTTCTACAAATCAAAATCAAAGTGTTAAGGGAAAACCTAGAACATGCCTCAAAACCTAAGAACAACTGAAAATTGGTAAGAAATATTTGCCACCAAGTTTTTTGCTTAACTCCACGGTGACTCAAATCAGTACAAATACCTCATTCTAAAGCCTTGGGAGAAATTCTTGGGACTGTGCTGCTCTCTTAACAAAGGTAGTTTGGGAAAATTTCACAATGAGCAGTTAGTCATCACAAAATTATTACAGTATTGTTCCCCAACTGAGACATCATATTACCTTTTGAGATTAGCAGCCACTCCAAGCTCACATAAATCAGAACAATCAGCTTTTACATATACACGGCTTACAAAAGTAGGGTTTTGCTTTAAGTGAAATCAGATTAAACTTACCTGTTCCACTAAAGCATGTACAATATTAGCACAATGACTCTCTTCTTCTCAGGGACTTCAGTTCCAAGTAGGTGAAAGAAGCATACACTCAAAAGCTGTACATACTCAAGCAGATTTGGCATTTCACTTAACAAAAAGTATGTGTGCAAACACATGCAAAGCGRGACTCACAAACCTGCTGGTCTGGCTTCATCCCTCCAAACTTCAGTGCATGGCTGGGGCTCCTAAGCCTGCTTCCTTCTGAGCCAGCAGTGAAAGAAGCAATTCCAGCAAGCCTGAATTTCTGGGAACCAGAACCCTTCTCCTATACCTGTCTTGGTTGTGGAAGGAGTCTTTCTTAATTTAGGCTCTTCAGTTAGGCAGTAAATACAAGGAAGAAAGGATAAAGGCTAAATCCTCAGAACAAAAAGAGGCCCATAGAGCCATAGGCATTTGTAGACCCTGCTCCTGGGGACAGGGCTGGCTGCAGGCCCTCTGTTCCCGCTGGAGTGTCAAGTACACAAAATTAAACAGGATCAAAGCCTGACAGTTTTAAGAAGACAGGCAAAAGGCATAGGAGTTACCTGTTGACCTAATTGCAACTCTTATAGAGAAAAAATAGATTGAGAAAGATTCCAGTGAGTTCAAATTTAAAATATCATCACACTCAAGACTCCAAAAGAATCAGTCCTCAAAATTCAGGAGAGTCTCTGATGAGGGCGTTTCCACAGTCTGTGCATTGGTTTGTCCAAGGGCTGCACCCCACTCTTTCTGGAAAAATTTAATTAAATAAAGACAGAATATGCTGGTAACCAGCAGCTAAGGAAAAGGAAGATGTACATGCAGTTCAAGTATCACTGCTTCACTTGGGGCATCAATTTTTAATATTTCAAGAGAAGTTTATCTGATTCTCCCCCACATCTTCAGCTTGTACATATCCAATTATCTTTYCTGATGTTGCCTCAATATATCTATCCAGGAGCAACCCGCCAGCKGTGCATCCACCTGCAATGCTGGCCTCTGGTCATCAGCTGCTGGCTGAGCAAGGGAAGGGGCTGGCCTCTTCCTGTCCACATGCACCCCCTCCACTAAGAGCAGTGCAGATCTTCCGTCTGTTAAAGCCTTATTTACAGCCACTTTCTCTGGTAGTTAAAGTCTCTGTCCCCTAAATTGGGGTGTACACACTATGTAGGACCCATTAACCTGCCCAGCAACCTTGTGCTTGTTACCTTGCTTTCTAAGCACATCCATTAATGAGGAATCCCAGAGACTAATGGCTAGTGAGTCCCAGACGTTAATGGCTTTGCAGCTTGCAATAGGGCAGGCCATTTTATTTGCCTCAAGCAGCCTGGCCACCAGCACAGCACTTTCCTAACCCAGGTAGGGAAAACCTTCGGGTCCACAGGTATTAAAGCTGATAACCTGATCCTGTAGAAAATGTTTTGAGAAGAATTTGCCATTCTTCGACAAGAGCCTGCTGATKGCTGTGGACCTGGTTGTAAGTTTAAGGTGATTACTAAACCACATGGGAATATCTGACGTTCTTCAAATGCCTTTAACAAACACACCTTTGTCTGTGGGTTCTCCCCAGTCCCAAATATTTATAATTTCATGCTGTGCTTTCATCACGGCCAGTTTCAAGCTGAAGCGGTAAGCACAGTGACTACAGCTAAAACTATGAAGAAACAACGTATGACAGATCTACTACAAAGCCGCAGGAGAGTACAGAAGTTTATGTAACACTTTCAAAACATTTAAAATCTCCCAATTTTAACTAATATATCACAGCAGTAAAAAGACATATGTGAATGTGTCTCCTGGCTTCAGTGGGTGTTCTTCTCCAAGCAGGAGAACCAGATGCATTGAGATGACAAAATCTCAGGTTTTAAAACTTCTTACACTGTAGTATCTGGACAAATACTGCTACAACTCAGGCAACACAAATTTAGCAAATACAACTGACTAAGACAAGGGAARAATCACATCTGAGTAGGTTTTCTCCTCTGAATCCTCCTTTTCTGAATGAAAGATCAACATGTGCATGTTTCTCTGGACAGTTACTATACCAATTTATTTCAGGATTCTCTTAACCATGTCTCTCTGCATGAATTTCCAAATGAYGGTGCAAAGTATATGGGAAGAAAATTCACCACCAGAGCAGATCTGGGGTCTATAGGCAAAGGCCTGTCAATAAAAAGCTTCACTAATACCCATCTCTCTAACCTAATGGAAAGGATTGATTGYTCTGTCATATTATGCTTAGCCACATGACCGTATGACACTAGAACAGTAATCTTCTGATAGCAGTCAGAGAAACAGCCCCTATATATTAAAAACAGCTTATCTCTGTATTTCTCCTACTTAACAGCCAGTTTTCAGGGTTGTGATCTCCAGCCCCATAAAACWTATTATTCCTAAATAACACCTCAGAATTGGCTTAACCATAGSCCTGGCAAGCAGCTGTTTTCATTCTAGTCATCTGGTTACACTCATCAGCTCATAAAACAAAATATCTCAAGTACCCAATATGGTGCGTGAGGTCTATTCCTTTAGTTTGTTCTCTGTAATATTCCCAAATAGTCTCCTGAGAAAGCACGGTCCATCGAGTGCAGAGAAAAATATTAGAACCAGGCTAGTTTTGCTGCCAGGACCTGATTAGAACTGGATCCAAAGCTAAAAACCCTGACATAAGGCAAWTCACTTAAAGCACTGTTGACACAATGCCTCTCAAGCAAATATACTAAAAAATAGAAATCAATCAAAACATATAACTCTAGAGAGACTTCCCTAAAAACATGAATGAGTTTTATCCAACTTTTGGGAAGAGAAGGAAGGCACTCATGTTACTTCTCAGGGCTTCCAAGTATCAGACCATATCAACAGCCACCTTTCTCTCTCCCTAATATCCTGCAGTTTCCTGGCTGGTTTGTCCTAACTGCCAGTGAATGCTAGTATCAATTTATATAACATACGGAGATGTTCTTGTTGCACCTTTGATAAATCTGACTCAGAGAGACTCCCAGGACATCACCTTGATTTTCTGGGGCTAGAGCAGAGATAATACCCTGCTGCAGAGAGCAGGATCTAACAGGTCTCTTGAGGATATTGTTGTGCAGCCAGTTTTTCAATCACAATATTATAAAACTTAACAAACTTAACTGTCTACCTCCCAAACAAGAAGGGAAACACTATTTACCTCCCAAAAGTTCTCCAGCCTGTTCCCCATCATGCAGCTTGAAGAAACAGTTTCATGCACTGGCTGTGCTGGACCCACTTCCCCACCTCTCCCACAGTCAGAGCCACAAGGCAAGCTCAAGGTGGGTAGATCCTGTGCTCATGGGGATCAGGGATGGCAGGCTTGGACACTACAAGGATGCCAAAAAGGACTCTTGAAGATGTGCACCCCTGMATGTATATTTGAAGTCAAAAACAGATCCGGTCAAATCAAGGAGGATGACTTTCCAGACATCTGCTGGAAGTACAACACAGTAGAGATGGAGCAGCCCAGGATGTCCCTGGATTGTGCATAAGAAAGGGTTGAAAGAGGAAGCAAGAAACTACAGGCCTGTCAGCCTGACCTCGKTGCTGGGGAAGCTCATGGAGATCTCTCTTCCTGAGTGCCAYCACATGGCACACACAGGAGATCCRGGGGGTCAGGCCCACCTGAAAGGCGTAAMTGCCTGACACCATCTCCATCTGTAACCCTGTTAGAGGATGARRGAAAGGCTGGGGATGTTGACTTCCTGGACTTCAGAAAATCTTTGACACTGTATCCCATAGAATTCTCCTGGAGATACAGCTGCTTGTCACTTAGATGCTCTGTTCCTCTGTTCCCTGAGTTAAAAACTGGGTGATGGCTTGGCCCAGAGTGTGCTGGTGAATGGAATTACTTCCAGCAGGCAGATGGTCACTAGTGGTRTYCCCCAGAGATCAGTATTGGWYCCAGTCCTTGTGATATCTTTATCAATGRTCTAAATGAGGGAACTGAGAGCASYCTCAGTCAGTGTGAGGACAGCACCAAGCTGTGTGGCAGTGTTGATGTGCTGGAGGGCAGGGAGGCTCTGCAGAGGGATCTGGACAGGCTGCATCCATGGGCTGAGGCCAATGGGGTGAGGTTCAACCAGGCAGSTGCTGGGTCCTGCTGCAGGGTCACTACAACCCCTGCAGCTCCAGGCTGGGATRCAATGGCCCAGTGGGAAAGGATCTGCAGGTGTTGGTTTTCAGTGGCTGAACAKGAGCTGGAGTGTGACCAGATGTCCAAGAAGCCAAAGGCACTGGGCTTGTGTCAGCAACAGCGTGGCCAGGAGGACCAGGGCAGTGACCATCGCCCTGTGCTGGGCACTGGWGAGGCCACACCTTYAATGTTSTGTTTGGTTTTGYTCMCTCACAGCAAGGACATTGAGGGGCTGAAGCATAACCAGAGAAGGGAATGGAGCTGTGGAAGGATCTGGAGCACAAGTCCTGTCAGGATTGGCTGAGGGGGCTGGGATTGTTCAGACTGAAGAAGAAGAGGTTCAGGGGAAACCTCACACTCTGCAGCCTGAAAGGTACTGAAAGTACCTGAAACCAAGGTGTGGGTCAGGCCTTTCTTCCAAGTAACAAGGGAAAAGGGCAAGAGGAWATGGTTTCGGGTATCTCTGTGTCCCTCTAACAAAAAGCAATTTTCTACTTTTTGAAAACCAAAACAAGGATGTGGGTGACTCATTTTTCTTCCAGGTGAGGTAAAAAAGAAAATGTGATTCAGACACTGCATCAGAGTGCCACCTAGCAGTGCTCTAGTGTAACACTTACTTCTAAAAACTACATGTGGAGAGAAGCAGGGCCATTGCCAGACTAATTTYAGGAGTGGGGAAGGGTTCAGAGGATGATATATGGTTATTAGCTACTGGTTTTCTGCTGACCAGGTTACTCTGTCTCTAATYCCTCTTCTATTTGCTTGTCTCTTTTTTTGGGGAAAAGGTAACATCTCGGTAGGTCTAATATCAGGAAAGGTTGAAAAATTATCTAGTTTTATTAAAATGTACTGAACTGCTTGAAATTTTTGGGGAAGCAATGCTACCCATGTAAACACGCTTGATAATCATATATCTTTATTTTTGTGAATGTGCTGATCTCCAATAAGTTATTCTGGAGTGATTTCAGGCTTGACTTCCTCAAGTGTAAGACTTAACAGCTCTTTCTGCCTTGGGAAAGAGCTGTTCTGTTGTTGTACTGTCTTACTGCACTAACTCCTGTCATGAAGCTCAGTTTCACATGCAAAACTTCATGGCAGATAAGGGACATTCAACAAGCTTAACATTTTAAAGATTTTTTCTTTATCTCATCAACGTATGATTTTAAAACATGGTGGTATCCAGCTACACACTAGCATAAACATGGCACAGCACAATTTAGAAAACATGGCTGATGGAAACAAAAAATGCATATTGCCACCATGAATAAAATAATATGTTAATTAATAATTTATAAATTTTAAAAGGTTGATTTTCTTTTAARAGCTTCTGAACACTTGGATTTTTTTCTCAGTAAAAAAATCTTTCCCTTGGAAAACTGAAACAGGATTGGAAAAATGGACTCCATTAAAAATGATCTAAGAACAAAGCTTTTTTTTGCTAAGTCTCAACAGAGACAGAAGTTRWTGGGGGAAAAATAATRYAATTTTGGRAACAGTTTCACCTGTTTTTCCTACATCAAAGTCCTGCAAATATTTTCATAACCAAAGATGAAGAGGGAAGTTAAAAATACATACTCCAACAAGTCTTGTTAAAAATCTCAACAATGGAGAAATTATTACATAAATATTGCCACCTAGTGGCAAAAAACCCGATGAAAACAAACACTGTATTCAAATACAAGAAAGTAAGTTTGAGGAAAAATGAGCTACAAATTCATCCTGCAAGGGTTTTTATGAATTGTTGAGTGCATTGCACTTAATCACCACAGCAGGACAGTTTGTCCTGTAATTACGAGGATCAGATTAACACTTCACCCCCAGAGCTCAAGGTAAAAAAAAAGGAAAAAAAAATCCCATTACCTTTTAATTTGAGAAGGGAGCTTTATTTTGTCAATGCAACTGGAACCAAAACCAAATAAATAGACAGCCAAGTCTTTCACTTTTAGAAGTTCTGCTCAACTCTACCCACTTAATTTTCAACATTTACTTTCACCATTGACTTGTCCATCGCTGGGCGGGGGTGATGGGAGAACTGAAACATTGTTTCAGCTTCTCTTGAATGAAGTGCTTCTGGTACTTCAGAAGCATTTGTTTGGCTTTACAAGAGCTCAGTTTTGAAATCAACTCATTTCAGTTTAGTGCAGATGCCGTACCTGAAAATGAGAGGAATGAGCACCGTGTCCAGGAGAAGGAGTCCTCYCAACTCAATAGAAGAATGAGCAAATATCACTTTGTGTTCCCAGACCTGAGGCGGCTCAGAGTCATGGTGCCTCAAACTTTCCAGCCCAGTTAACCTAACACCTGAACAACAGCTACAGTAAACCAAGAATCAGTTTACACAAACCTGAAAAACAGGACATTTCTCCCTGACCWCAATTGCTGGCTACTGGACAAGTTTCAGAAGCTAATACACATTTACGTCACATACATTCTGACCTGGAAATATAAATTCTAGGTAAATGTCACTAAYTGGAATAGGGCACTACCAAAACCACTCCAAGACTTTTCCTCACTGTTTAGGAAAAACTGTAAACGGCAAGATGTCAAAGGGGAAGTTACTTTATGCAGTAGTAACAAGAGCAATCTCTGGGTTGGAGCAGAGGGAGGGTAATTCACTCAACTCTATCCTCTGCCATGTCCCTTTCCAAAGGCAAGAAAGCTTCTACTGTCTCATTCCTACACATGACCGATAACTACCAAGCAGTTATWGCACCATAGCCATGGGACTAATGAAGATATGTATATTCCAAAAGGGAAGTGAAAATGYCTTCTCTACTCATGACAGTCACACAACAGTTTTCAGGAGCCCTCTGATCACACAGACCGATGCAGTGAGTGYCAGATAATGGAGTGTGAGGGGAGCATATGTCCTTCATAGTGTTCTAGAACAGGCAATGGGGCCTGCCTGGGCCAAAAGATTGGGTAAAGAGAAGGCAAAAGAAAGGGATAAGAGAAATTGAAACGAATTGCTAAGACTAAAAAGAGAAACAGATAACTGGAACAAAGTGGGTAGCTCAGTGTTATTTGCCAGCTTGAGGCTTTTACCTTTAATGGCCATGGATAACAAAGCCTYGCTTCATTTTGTTTGAAAGGGAGTTGGAAAATATTTTCAGACCTGAGTCAGAAAAATGTTTGCTCCCCGCTGAGTCACCACTGCCTGCTACAGTTACGTGATTTCTTTAGTGCTGTSATCCTGCATGCACCCACACTGATGATGTTTCTCCAACAGATCAGGTGCACGTGACAGASTAAAAGAGTGATATCTGGCTGAGAAAAGCCCAACAACACCTGTTTAGGCTGCACTGTACATCCAACTTGCTAACAAACTGTCTCATAAACAAACACAAGGYTGCCATTGCATTTGACATTCTCCATGGGCTGATGCATTCAGACTGATCTCACCACAGTTTCATCAGGAAAATACTCACTTGCTCCCAAGAAACAATAGTGTGGCGTTCAGCTGGCTCCTTTTCCACAAATGTCACCTCAGCAACTCCTGGAGAAGTCTCTGAAAGGGAAAGAGAAGCATGTTTGCAGCTGGCACAGGTGACACCAACACTGTTAGACAGACAATTCTGCAGATTTATCTGAATGACAGCCAGGCAAAAGGCATTAATGACTACAAGCATTGTGCTAGTGACTGAGCAGTCACTTTCTTTTGTCTGTAACTGTATGCAGCATGTCTTGGCATGACGATGTCTAGTGCTGCACAAAACGTTACCCTTTGAATTTTTTTATACAAATAAAATGCACATATCATAATATATCTAACATAAACTGATTTAGTGGTGGCATTCCTGCCCACCAGGAATGGGTGGGAGGGATTGGAACTAGATGATCTTTAAGGTCYCTTCCAACYCAAACCATTCTCTGATTCTATAAYATAAACACATACAAGTTGTCTCYAAGGTGTGATCTTCTGCAGAGGTTTCATAGAAAAAAAAAATCAGTGATAGCTCCTGAGGCAAACTCTTACAGAGAGATGAATCTGTCTTTGTAAGCATGCTCTGTGGTTTCTGTTGGGTAGGATTTCCTCAGCTTGGAACAAGAAGWAGCATGGTGCTGCTGTAAACTGCTAATAACCCTATTCCACAAGGACAGGCACACTTCAGCTCTGGATTCAGTGGGTTTGGACAGACACACAACCTGATCCCACCAAAGGGATTTGCATGAGCCAACATCAGCTCTCTGCAAKCCCAGCTGGACATATGCAAACTTGTTATGAGCACTGAGCTCGAAATCTATAAAAATCATCTGAATATTTAATGGGAAAGAATGCTATATAAATATAAGGTACTAATCCACATGGTGCTACCCCTTGCAGGTGTGTAATGGCAGAACAGACTTCCTCACACTTACCATTTTATAATGTTTTACTTCAACCGGAGCCAAGTGAAATAATTCCCACTGAGGTAATTCTCTTTGGATCAAGCCCAGAAAGACTACTAACTTGTTGTGGGAACTGCAAGCCCAGCAGACAGGACCATGGAATAGGAGTGATAACTATGCAGGGCTTTCAAGACTGGCTCTGTTGTGAAAGGGTTGGCCTCAAAAGCAGTCACACACATGATAATTGCTTTCTGGTAAAACATACACAGTGCACCAGACAGGAAAAGCAGGCACTAGAGAGCTTTGGTTTGTTTTTTATCTTCAATGCCAGGCTYTTAATTCTATCAGTAGCATTGTCCTGGTCTGTTCTTTTGGTGGAGGAGTGGAAGGAAACCTAAACTTCACTTGGAAACATTGATTGATACACTGTCAGATAAYTGAAAAGATAAAACATGGCCTCAGAAAACCAAGGTCCAAGTTAAAGACAGGAAAAAAAATTATAGTAGGTCACATAGGTAAATTTGTCTGGCCAAGGGGGACCCGGAAAACAGAGAAGACTCTGATGTTTCACCAAATTTCACTTCTAATAGGTGGGTGCAAGGGGGGTGATCTGTCTCTCGCTCACTATAAGCTGTTGAACAAGAGAGTGGAATCAATAACCTAACTGGTCTTTTCCATCTAAGCTATGCAAACTGTATGACAAATTGAAGAGATTATAATAACAGAGTAATTGTTATTTCTATGATCAAAGAAAACATCAGGGATGTTTAATTCATCATGCACAACAGYTTGGCTGGGATGACAGAAGATTAAATACTGTTTCAGTCAAAGAAGATGTCTAGGAACTAGAGAAATGCAACTTCTAAAGAGGTATGAACCAAATCCAAGATCAAAAGAAAGAAAAATTCCATCTTAAAAGCCAGAATGTTATATTAAGTATATCCAGTGGGTGAACTTAAAACCATGTTTAACACATGTGTTCAGTCATGGATAAGAGCTCCATTTAACATTAAGGAAGAATGGAAGAAACAAAGAAGCCACCTTGTTGGCACCTAGACACATAATCAAGCTTAACTACTTCAGGKGACTCCACCCTACTAATTAATCTGAATCAAAGTCATAGCAAACTCTGACCTATTTTTAGGACATTTCGTCTGGAAGCTTCCAAAAATGCTTTGCACTACTGATCAGAAAGAGTCAATGTAATGGTGTGACAAAAACCTAAAGCAGGAAATCACAGCATATTCAGTCTTTACAGTACTGCTAATACTGCCTATAAGTTGGTTTAACTCTCAACATMATTTTAAAATGTCTGAATAAATTATGTTCTTATCTAATGAAAGTATGGCTCTGCTTTGGGCAGTCCAGAAGAACTAACTAACACCTTCCATTCTGACTTAGTTATGAATAATAAATCTTTCTGGAATTTTCTATTACTCACAAAACTCCAGCAAAATGAATCATATTGGCAATGGGAAAGATGTCTCCCTTTTTCCCCTGAAGGTATAACCTCCACAAGGCTGGTGAGATAATAGCCTTCCTTGTAGGGACTTCCACAGAGACTAAAGTTAAAAAAAAACAAAACAGAACCCCAAACCAACAAAACAATGCCTGATTGTACTTTACAGTAGGCAGAAAATATCAAGTGACTTCATGAGACGTTCCAAAAGATTAAAACTAAGATAGCTCCTAGTACTACTAATTACTGAGCAAGGTGTCAGTCTGAATGAGATATGCTTTGTTTTTTGAAAGAAACAAGAACAGACTGGTAAAGTTTCCCAATTAGCTAAGCAATTCTAATTTGTTTGGTGGCACAGTTGAAATACCTTGGACTACTTCACTGGAAAAAAATATGCAAAAATCCCAGGTGTGGAAAGACAGAAAACAGAAGCAGAGTGAAACATCACTGCGATGGACCCGGACGCACATTGCTGTATTGCCCAAGTTGTCAGAGACACAGAGAGAAAAACAATGAAACAAAA